GTATGTATGCATGTATGTATGTAGTGAAGGAATGAATACATGAATGAATGAGGGAAAGAAAGAAATGTATGAATGAAAGAAACGAATGAATTGAAATGAATGAAATGAGTGATTGAATTTAATGAGAGAATGGAGCGAATGAAATAAAATGACATGAAATGAAAATGAAACGAAATGACATGAAATGAAATGAATGAAGTACATGATTGAATGGAATGACGGGCTGGAATGAATGAATTTAAATGACATAAAATAAAATCAATGGAATAAATATAACAACGAATGAATGAACGATTGAATGAATGAAATTAAATGAAATGAATGAATGAATGAATGAGATGAAAGAAATGAATGCATGACTTGAAATGAAGGGAAATGAAATGAGAGTAATTATATGAAATCAAAGAAGCTTGGATGCATGGATGGAATGGAATGGAAAGGAATGGAATGAAAGGGAATGCAATGGAGTGAATTGGAATGACAAGGAATGAACGAATAAATGAATGAATGGAAGGAAGAATGAACGAAATGAAATGACGTGAATGAAATGTATTAATGACATGACGTGACATGACATGACATGAAATGACATGAAAAGACATGAAATGAATCAATTGAATGAAGTGAATGAAGTGATGAATGAATGAACTGACTGAATGAATGATTGAATGAATGAACAAACGAATGCATGGATGATTAAATTAATGATTGAATGGCTGAGTAGATGGATGGATGGATGGATGGATGAAATGAAAGAAGAATGAATGAATGACTGAATGAATGAAGCTTGAATGCATGAATAGAACGGAATGGAATGGAATATGAGATGAGTGAATCAATTGGATGAACGACAATGAAATGAAATAAAATGAAATTGTAAATGATGAAAGTACGAATGAACGTATGCGTGTATGATCCGTGCAGTAATGTAATGTAATGTAATGTAATGTAATGTAATGTAATGTAATGTATGTATGTATGTATGCATGTATGTATGTATGTACGTACGTAGGTATGTATGTATTGTATTGCATCGTATTGTAATGTTATTGAATGCAATGTAATGTAGTGTAATGTATTGTATTGTATTGTATTGTATTGCAATGTAATGCGATGTGTGATATGGTATGGTATGGTCTGGTATGGCATGGTATGTATGTATGTTCTTACATACACACATGCATACATACACACATGCATACATACATACATGCATACATACACATATACATACATGCACACCTACATACATACATGCAAGATTACATTGCATTGTGCTAGATTACTTACAGCGCACATTGCATTTTATAATACCTTAATATTCTATGCTCTAATTTTATCACATCATGCCATATCATGGTACATTAGGTCATGTCATTATCGTATGCGTGTGTATGCTTGCGCCGACCCACCAGGCTGAGTCCCCTCATGCTCGAATCAGGCATTGTCTTTGCCTCGGTTACAGAGATCATCTTCCTGCTGGCTGGTGGCGACACCGTCGAAGAGGTGGTTCGGGACATTAAGGGTGTGCGCCTTTGGATTTAAGTGTTGTTTCAAGGCTTTTGGAGTTAAGGGCTCGAGGACTCCGGGGGTTTAGGATTAAGGGTTCAGGGCTGTGAGGTTATGGCATGTAGGTTGAGAAACAGAGTTTCGCGCTCCCTGATATTCCTGTCCGGGCGGGGTTCCCTTCTGCTGTGTCTCTGGAGATATCTGGGAATCTATTGGCATGGCCTGGAGCCTTCAGTCTGCTGGCTTCGGAGGTTCTACGCGTTTGGAGTTTGAAGTGTTCAGCTTACGGTACTTGGGGTTTATTGGCCCCAAGCCTCAAAGACAGACAAGTCCCTTCGTCGACATCTGTGGCGCGGGGTGTTGTGTCAGACGGCTTTGGGGTTGCCATTAAGTAATTTCCCTACACCCGAAACCCGAAACCCCAAACACTAACCCCAAACCCTCAGCCCTAAACCCTTTTGCTTCCGTCTAGTCGAACCAGTCTCCTTTCTTCGGCCCCATCGAGTACCATAGGGGCCCTGAATAATTACCAATACTATGGTTGATGATATAAATCCTGCATGACCTTAGGGACCCCAAACTATGGGAATTATGGTATATTCCTTATTATGGGTAATGCAGGATTTATATCATCCACCGTATTTTGGCCTCCTCGCTGCCGTCTTCCTCGGCACCTTCGGGCCTGCATCGGGTCCTGCTGTCGCGACAGCTGCAGCTGTTTTTCGGTGTCCACAATGTACCCATAGGCTCCTAAGTAGTTCCTTGTTTTGGTTTAACCAATTCTATATAAAGGATCCTAAAAGGTAGCTCCAAAAAGGAACTACAATCTATAGATTTTTCCGGCTCCGTAAACATTTGGGCGTTCACTGTCTCGGGGGGTTTGGAATCGGTTCCTTGTCTTTCCTAAAGTAGTAGTAAGTAGTATCGCTCAATTTGCGGAGTTCGGGTTGTACTGGTTTCAGGGCCTAAGCTGCAGATAGCCCGACGCAACCTTAAAAAGCAAGATTCAGATCATGAGGCCTGACCCTAGACCCTCCATCTACCCTCTGTTTAGACCCTAAATTTGGGACCATATACCCCTGTTTGAGGGTACTTGGAGGGTCCTGGACAGCACAAGTGCAAACTGCACAGTGCAAACTAATAAATGGCATTCGCTGAGCCCCAAATTTCCCAGAACTCTCAGTCCAACGTGGCTCGAAATTTTCAAGAAATTTAGGGCTCAGGGTTCCTTTAAAGGGGGTCTATATGTGTTACTCTAGGGGCTCCTGCAAGGGCTTGGGGTCTAAGGTTGAAGATCGTCGGGGTTTTAGGGTTTACGGTTTGGGGTCCCGATCAGGTGCGAATCTTCAAGCTTCTTCGCATCGCACGCACCTTGTCCGCCTTGAGGGTGGACATACCTTCTCCGGGTTTAAGGATTCAGACTGAACCGTTAAACCCCAAACTGCTCTAAACCGTACTTGAAAGCCGAACGCTCCACCTTAAAGCCTGAAGCCCTAAACCCTGAAGCCCTAAACCCTGAGCCTTAAAAGCCCTAAGCCCGAATTCCCTAAATCCTCTACCCTATACCGTAAGCGAAGCCCGAAACGCCAAACCCCACAACCCCAAGCCCAAAAGCCTGGAGCCTTCCTGAGTCGCTAGGTAGGCCCTTCAAAGGCTTTTTGAAAAAAAGGCCGACCCTAGTGAACGGTTTAGGGTTTAGGGGTTTAGGGCTATAGGGGTTTAAGCCTCATAGTGTTTAGGGTTTAGGGGTTAGGGACCTAGTGTAGTGTGTGAGGTCTGCCGGTGTCCTGGTGCAGGCATCGCCTTAGGGAAGTCCGAGACCCCAAAGCGAAGCGAGAAAGTTGGAGCATGATGATCATCATGCGCTGAAGGTAGAGCACAAGGGATCCTGGGACCAGTCCTCCGAAACCCATGTTCCAACGTTAAGGGATTCGCTGTAGGTTCAGGGGCTTTGGGGCTGTTGGATTTAGTATAGGGGCCTCCATAATTACCTTTATTATTTTGGGGGTTCCTTATTATATTTGTAGTATAATGGGCCCCAAAACCTTATTCTAACTACTAAGGCCCCTACATTAGGTGTTAGGGCTGTGGGGTTGAGGTCGGGGTCTTGTGTCTTCAGGGAATGGGCTCTTTAGAGCTTCGAGGGTTAGGGTTCCTGATACACCTGCCAAAACCGATGCAGAGAGGTCCAGCCGCCTGAATAGCAGTCGACTGGCTGGTCTTAGGAGGATCCTGTGAGGAGTAGCTCAGCAAGTAACTCATTGAAGACATGCTTGAGGTTCTTCCAATAAGTTGCCAATAAGGGTCCTAACAAAATAGTACTCTCGAGCCCCATAGTTCCTTGAAATGCCAGAGATGGCCGGCCACCCACTATTTCTGAATCTGCACCCGAGGACAACATAAGCCACACCTCAACCCCCGTATTGTTCAATCCTAAGGTTCAGGATTGAGCATAAACCCACACTCCGGAAGCCGACCCTTCTGAATCCCTAAACCCCAGACCCTAAACCCTAAACCCCTAAACCCTCAACCCTAAACCCTAAAACCCTAAACCCTACACCCTAAACCAATGAAGCTCAAAGGCATCATGCGGCTGATGCGCTTCATCCGGAAGTCGCCTTATCTACGAGAGCTAAGGAATCTTGAACAAGTTCAGCCCCTTATCCCTGTATGGGCTTGCCATAGACATGGTATTCATCTAATGTTTCGTACCAAAAACTTAGTCTAGTTGACAAGCCACCGTATGTCTGTCGTCGGGCAGCTTCTGATCAGCAGCTTGACCCCTTGAAGAAGTGCATCTTGCAGGGTTTAGTCTTGGGAGGATTTAGCTTGCAGGGTCTAGCTTGCCCGGGTTGAGGTCGCAGTTTGGGGAGGTTTGGGTGGTAGTGTCAGGAAGGTTCGTGGACGGTTAGAGGACGATTTGGGAGACTTTGCTTAAGTTAGGGGTTTTGGGAGGGTTCGAGGGGAGTTTTGAGGGTTCGAAGGGTTTGGGAAGGTTGGAGGGTTTCTGAAACAGTATGGTTCAGAGTACAAGGACCTGGTTGCTGAGGCCATGAACCCGGCACGTCTTTATTCTCCTGCTTTGGCAGAAGAGCGCAAGCACATGAGACCCTAAGCCCATGAGGCCGTTGTAGCCGCACACCTGAAGTCCTGAGCTTGCAAGTATCAACCCGAGGGGTTTTTTTGGGGTTGAAGAGTGTAGAGCTCCTATGAAACCCCCAGGAAGCTCATGATGATGTTTGCCAGCGTAATCCGGACCTTGGCGTGGCAGCTCGGCTCAGACGAATCTCAGACGCCCCGGGTGTGGAACGTTGCAGGTTTAGGTTCCGGCCTTAGTTCAAAGGGTACTCTAGGGGTCGAATGACGCATAAGTTCCAATCCATATACCGTCATATCAGTAATTACAGAAAGCATCCCCCCGAACCCTATCCTAACTACGAAGGCATCTATATTACTGTTCGCAGGTTGTGGGGATTTCGCAGGTTTAGGGTGTCGGGTTTTGGATAAACTTTGTAGGGTCATGAACCCGCCCTGGGATGTTTTTAGAGGCAAGTCTAGTACCAGAGACTGGGGCTTAGGGTATAGGGTTCAGGCTTTAGGGTTCGGGGTTTAGGGTTCAGGGTTTAGGGTTCAGGGTTTAGCGCTTCGGGTTTAGGGGTTTGGGCTTTGGAGGCAGACTCCATGGGAAAGATGAGGCTCGGGACTCAACAGAGGAATGGCTCGCACATGCCTGAGCACCAAACCTTTTCAAGCAAGGCCCATAAATTAGACCCGAAAAGACCTTATCACTCCAAAATTATACCTTAGCAGACCCTGCAAACCCTGTTGGAGCTATTAAATCAAGGCCCACCTGACCCTTTAGCCCCGCTTCCTGCCCAGGTCTTTCCTTTTCTGTTTCATCGCGACAACGCTGTGGTCCATGGTAGCTGTGGAGCTCGTACATCCTGTCGTGCAGGACCCCTGCAAAGACAGAGGGTCAAAGGCTTCGGGGTCTGAGTTTGCTAGAAGGGGTTTGTGGGCTTTGTTGTATTTTCTCCCTAAACCCCTAAACCCCTAAACCCTAAACCCATTTTAACCCTAAGCCCATTTTAACCCTAAACCCACTTTAACCCCAAATCCTAAACCCCAAGTTCTGAGCTTTCGGCCAAACTGAGCTGGGGGCTCTAACCCAGCTTTTGGCACAGGGTTTTCGGACGCACAGGCTCCTCCCCGAAACCCTCATAAGTTGGGTTTTTAGGGCTTAGGGAAATTACGACTTACTTACTCATGACTGCAGTTCTGACCGTGCAAAAATTGCGGCTGTGACCAACATGCTACAGAGCATACCGTGCATATTCGCCCAAATAGTTCTGCCGGCCTCCCCCCAAAGAGCGCCAACTTAAGCAAAGCGCGAAGCTGGTACAAGCAAATTCCTCCATGATGGAATATAGAAGCCTAGATAATTACCCGTTTTATTCCTCTAGTGTTCCTTATATTAACTACACCATAAATGAGCCCAAAGCCCTATTCTAATCGTTAAGGCCCCTACATATGTTTCTGACTTAGACTGGAGGATCACAACTCGGATCATCTCTGTTGTCTTGTATCCGTAAGACCCAAACCTATAAAGATAGAGTTTACAATAGGCTCCCCTAAACCCTAAACCCCAAACCCTAAACCCGAAACCCTAAACCCTAAACCCCAAACCCTAAACCCTAAACCCTAAACCCGGCTCCCTAAGCTCATTTCGAAGGAGCTTGCAGAAGAGGGCGTTTTCAGTGATTGCAAAGATTGCAGGGAAGCGCGGCTGCAGTGGGGAGCGGAGACTCAAGTTTAATCTAGGGGCCTGAATGCTTAGAATAGGGTTTAGGGTTTGGGGTTTAGGGGTATATTATCCTAGAATAATCATAAGAAGGAATCCCCAAGATAGTATAGGTAATTATATATAGGCTCCTATATTGGATGCTCTAGGACCAGGGATTTGGAGCTTTACGGTTGCTTCCTTGAGCTCGGTTAACCCCTTGGATATTTGTTCTATGGGTTTAGGGTTTAGGGTTTAACTAGTTAGGGATTAGCGTGGGGGGTTGTAGAGTGCAGCCCTGAGAATGGTACGAAAGCTTAATTACGTATTTTGATGCAAGAGAATGCGCAGAGTTTGAAAAGGGAAACGGATTGAACCCTAAACACTTAAACCCTAGACTCCCTGAACCCTAAACTCTGACCCCCTGATTCCTAAAACCCTAAACCCTATAAGAGGTGCGGCGTGGTTCGGACGTAGGGCTTAGTTGCCGGAATTTTCCGCAAAGCCCGACACCCTTTGGCTTTGGTTTAGCGTTCTGGGTTTAAGGGTTCTGGGTTTAAGGGGTTTAGGGTTTACAGGGCTTAGGGTTTAGGGTCTAGGGTGGGGGTCTTCTGAGCGGACAGCCCTCTTCCCCCAAACAGGAACAGCATAAACAGCTAGCCACGGCGTGAACCTTCACCCAAACTTTAGTGCAAAGCCCCCCGATCGTAGACTCTACCAGGAGTTGGGTGGAGTTTTTGGGTCTGGGATTATAGGTGCGGGGGCTCCTCGTCATAACTATAGTATGCTATCCCCAACCACCCTACTCAAATCATGGAGGCCCCACATTCGGCCTTTCAATCCAGATCTTGGGCCTTTCACAGGTGTTGCTCTGAACCCTGGCAGTTGCGCCACAGACTTTCAAGCCCGTTGCACCAAAAGCAGTCAATCTCTGGAAAGCACGCCTATAGGAGTATGGTAGTCTACTACTATACTGGTATATCCATAGCCATAGTAGTATAGTAGCATAGCGGCATCAGTGTACTAGTGTAGTAGTGTGGCCCGATGGGTCCGAGAGATTGGGGCTTGGAGTCGCAGGTCCACTGTATGGACAGGTTCCTACGATACGATGAAAACAATCTGATATGGCGGCAAAGAGTTTTGCAGACGAGGCCTCAAAAGATTGAGCGAGCTTCCTTGTGTGCCCAGCAGTATAGCTCCTGTTGTAAGGCTCTTCTTGTGCAATCACTACCCTGGCCGGTCGCTATGATCCCCCCCCCCCTCTCCCGCTCGACGCCCAGAACCATGCTCCCCAACAGGAAGTCTACACCCACATAGCCCAAAGCTGCCCTGAACTAAACTGGATCTCAAGTTGGGGCTCAGGCATTACAGTCGCAAGCACGTTTGCAAAGACATTCGGACACAGGCAACAGCCATAGAATGAATGGAACAGTCGGTAGGTTTGTTAGATCGCCGCTGTCTGAGGATGCTTTCAGCACGGTCTTGCAGCCTCTCGGCAGCCTTGGACCATAACATGGCCTGCCCGTATGCTGGATGCCGCCCCAAAACCTTTCTGTGACTGAGGGCAGTCTTGCATGCGGTTTAGGGTTTTAGGGTTTAGGGTTTAGGGTTGGGATACTGGGCACTGTTCTGTTTTTGTTCGTAATGTCATCGGCATCACGACACCTGCGATGGTTGGGGCTCCCATTGTCAGCTTCATGGCAAGGACTATGTTGCATTATGGACGTACTTTGGGTTTTGTCCGTTTAGGCCGTTTACCGAAAGCAATTAACTCAACAACCCTAAACCCTAAACCCTAAGCCCTAAACCCTAAGCTGCTGCTGCAGCTCGACGAGCACCTGAAACGCAGGGAGACTCGGGTCTCTCGGGGCGCTGCTTCTGCTCTGAGGGTCATCAACGAGCCTCATTTAATGTAGACGCCTAAATAATTACCAACATTATTCTTAGGGCTCCTTCTTATTATTATTGTTATTATTTTCTTAGGGCTCCTTATTATAAGTATATTATGAAAGAGCCCAAAAATCCTATTCTGTTTTAGCAGAGCTGGAGGCTTTTGGGGAGGTCGGGAGGGTCCCTCATGTGTAGCCACTGGTCGAAGAGCTCCCTCCAGATGCCACGGCCTTACAACTACAACCCTCGACCCAACTAAACCTCAAACCGCCCATGCCAATGAATGCATGCCTAAGCAACCCAGGATTAGCTCCTAGCCGAGGTTGTTAAGAAGTATACTGGGTTATTGGGGTCCCTCTTGAGGTCCCCTAAACAGTCGGGATAGTAGGCCCCCGGAAGAACGGAGGGTCCTTGCAAAATACTCGGGTCCCCAGCGGCATCGGGCCAGTGAGGTCCAACCTCACCTTTCTGAAGACACTGTTGGCCGGGGACAGCTGGGGACAGACTCCTGGCTTGGCGGCTGAAGTCTAAACCCTAAACCCTACGAGAAGGGGTGCAAGGGCCCTGAAGGTGTCGGTTTCGGAGTTTGGGGTTCGGAGCCCTCAACCCTAAAGGTTTTGGATTAGGGGTCTCTGGTTGAGGGGTCAAACTCGGGTTCAGGGATGTTCTGTTGAGCTTGAATAGGGTTCAGGGTTTAGGGTTTAGGGTTGGCGGGGGGGGGGAATAAGTTGAGGGCACCAGAGTGCGGCTTTGGGGCTTGAGGCTCTTGGGAGATGTGGGACTGAGCATTCACTCCTTGCTAGACTTTAAACTCGGTTTAGGGTTTAGGGTTTAGGGCTTTAAATTGCGAAACTCCAAGGATCATGGTTGTGCTTCAATCGGGTGAACTTTTCCAGGGGTCTTCGGAACTGACTGGTGTCTCCCTTAGCGAAGACGAGGATCCTAGGTGTGGTATGCCCGAAATTCTCGGCCTGAAATTGCAAAATGCAAACGCCAAACCCTAAACCCCAAAAGCCAAGGATTGCCGTTCCAGTCATCCGCCGACAGCCGTATACTGCCGCCATTTTTGTCGGAGGCCTCGCCGCTGGGCCTTGATACTAATACCAATACTGATACTAATGTTAATACTAATACTGATGCTATAATGCCAATACCAATACTATACTATATACTATACTATAGCAACATATATATATATATATCTCTCTCTCTCTCTTTCTCTCTTTCTGCATTGCGCTTATTTCGTTCGTGTTACAGTACATTATAAGCTTGAAGCACAGAGGGCTTTGGGCAAGTTCGGGACGAGGGCATCTGGGAATCGGCTATCCAGGCTCCTTCTGCAAGTCATGTCTGCCATGGCTGCAGCCTCTGATACAGTGCCCAAGATCTGTCTCACCGACCTTGCTTGTAGGTGCGAAAGCTCCTGAAACGACAACCTGACGAATCCAACCCTAAACCGCACACCCTAAACACTTAACCCGTATAAACCCTAAACCTTACCCATAGGCTCATTAGTAGTTCCCTTTTTGGGATTACCTTATAGGATTCTAAATATGAGCCACAAAAAGGAACTACTTAGGAGCCTATGGGTACACCCCTGAACCGACATTCTTCGTCAGGTCTCCGTGATGTACGGGATCCTCAATCTTGTCGTTGCAGTCATCGTGGATGCTGCCATGGAGCAGAGGGAGAAGGCGGTGGGCCTTTTGAGTTGAAGGGTTAGGGCTTGGGGTTTTGGATTTAGGGTTTAGGGTTTTGAGTTTAGGGTTTAAGGTTTAGGATTTGGGGTTTAGGGTTTAAGGTTTAGGGCTTGGGACTAGGGGTGCAGGGGTGCGGGTGTACGACTCAGGTAGGCGAGCTTGGGCGTGTGCAGTCTTAGCTCGTTCTGTGGCAGGAGACTCGAGATGCCTCCCCTCTTCACAAGCCCTGTGTAGAAAAATCATGTGTCTTGTATGTGCTTCGTTGCAGGCTTCGGATGGCTAGGGCTGTATGTATGTATGTATGCATGCATGCATGCAGGCATGTATGTATGTATGTATGTATGTATGTATGTATGTATGTATGGTATGTATGGTATGTATGGTATGTATGGTATGTATGTATTGTATGTACTGTGTACATTGTATGTATTGCATGTAATGTATGTAATGTGTGCTATATATTGTTTTATACTGTTTTGTATTGTTGTGTATTGTGTTGTACTGTTGTGTATTGTATTGTTTTGTATCGTGCTGTATTGTATTGTATTCTATTGTATTGTATTGTATCGTATTGTATTGTATGTATTGGAATGTGATGTAATGTAATGTAATGCAATGTATTGTATTGCATTGCATTGCATGTATTGTATGTATTGTCTGTATGCATGCATGCACGCATGTATGTAGGTTTGTATGTATGCGTGGATGTATGTATGTATGTATGTATGTATGTACGTATGTATGTATGTATATATATATATATATGTATGCATGTTTAGTGTTATTGGTATAGCTTTTCAATTATTATTGTTATGATTTTTAGTATTATTGTTGTTATTATTACTATTGTGATTATAGTTATTATTATTATTTCTATATTATTTTATTATTATCATTATTATTTTGGTATTGATATTATTATTATTGTTATTATTATTATTATTTTTTAGTAGTAGTAGTAGTAGTAGTAGTAGTAGGAGGAGTAGTAGCAGTAGGAGTAGTAGCAGTAGTAGTATTCTTATTGTTATTATGATTGCTATTATTGTTGCTATTATTATTATTATGTATTTGTCTTATTATTTATTCTTCGTATGCCCTTTCATATTCTTAGTAGTATAGTTGTTGCCGTGTTTGTGTTTATTACATGTATGATTGTTCTTAGTATTGTTACTGATATTACTAATGGTATGCAACCTTGATCAATAGCTGAAACTTCATCATGCTCAGAGTACTTCACGGGTGTCCCTGATTTCACAAGACTCTAAGTCGTAGCCAGCCGTGAGCCCAAACTGCAGGACATCTCGACTTTGGCTGCAGATCTTGATTACGAGCTCCAGGAAGACATCAAACTGCTGGGGCAGATGTTCAAGAAGGTTGGGCCGTGACTGCCGCATCGGTATATAAATCTACTCCTGCGGCTGCTGCTGCTGCTTACTGCTGCTGCTACTGCTACTTCTACTACGACGAGGACGAGGGCGAGGACGAGGACGAGGACGACTGCTACTCCTTCTGCTTTTACTGCTACTGCCACCGCTATCAGGTATCAAGAGGGCGAATCAGGGAGGGAGTGGGAGAAAGAAAGGGAAATGGTATCTTTACACGCGCACGTATCAGTTCGACGACGCAGTGAAACCGAATTTGGGGCATGTCCTACACCGACACCTTGGATCCTGATAGGCCCCCACAAACACGAAGTCCATATCCCCAACCCAAAGCGTATCCTAAGTAGCCTGAAGCCAGTGATGTGCGACACGAACCATAGGTCGACGCAAACGGAGACGGCGAGCTGTCCCTGTCAGAGTTGATCCAGGGGGCGGAAGAGGCTGCCCTTGAGAGTTTATGTGTTTATGGATTAGGAGTTGGGCTCTTGGCTGTATGGTTGGTTTAGGGTTGTGGTGTCGTGGGTTTTGCCTGGCTTCCAGCCCCGCAGCGCTACACTCCTATCAGTGCAAATGCATTTTGTCAAATCTCTTTTCATCCGGAGGCCCAAATTTGAGAGCTCACGACTTTAACCTTTATGAAGCCTCGGTCGAAATTAAGCACCCTGTAACCCAATCTTGACGAAGCACCTAACCTTGCCCGAAAACCGCCTACCCTAAACTCCCAGGCGGCCAAAAATCGCAGCTTCTATTAGGTATCTTGTTGAGGATTTTAGAGATTGAATCTCTGATACTCATGCTTGATTTGCTTAGGGTCTAGTCGAAGCCAACCTTCCACTCGCTGGGAGGTCCCAGAGTTCCAAAACCGATTACGCGTCATGGACATCGATGCCGTGGATCTTGAGCAGTCCCTCTGCGTGCGCTTGCAGGGATTATAGGGCTTCTAGGGTTTAGAGATTTAGTCCGCTCCGTTGCACTCAAGAAAACCCTCAACCAATCCCTAATCTGGGCCTGTGGCATTCTCAACAGAGACAAAGATGGCCCCTCGAGAAGGCAGCGACGCGACGCCCAAATGTGAGGACAGGCCCTAACAAAGCTTGAAAATGCACCCGGTTCGGATTTCACTAAAGGTTACGAAATTATTTATGGGTGTTGTAAGGTTTTTTGTTCAGTATCAGGCTACTCTATACTATTATACGGGTATCAAAAGAAGCCGTGCAGGTCGTTAAGTTGGACACCTTGCAATTCGCCTACCGCCGAAAAGGTCTCCGAAAAGACCCCAAAGCTACATCCTTGATTTCTATATGTATATGTGTATACATCTGTATATATATATACATACATATCCCTTTCGGCTTCTGTACATACCGTTACGTATATATACCCTCGGGCCCTAAGACATTCAATCAGGCCCAGGAGACTCCAATGCCTTTTTGCCGCGCCGGTTGATCCTCCTCAAACCCTGCACCGCGAGCCCTAAACCCCTAAACCCTAAACCCTAAAGTTTTAGACAAGCGAACCCTTGAACTCGAAACCCTAACAAGCGCTTTAACAAACCCCAAACCCTAAACCCTAAAGCTTTAAAACAAACGAACTTTAGACTTGACACCTTAAACCCTAAACCCTGAACCTTAAACCCTTAAACTCGAAACCCGAAGAAGCCCCTTTAAAACCCCAAAGACCTCCTCTAAAGGCTAACCCTAAACCCTAAATTCTTAAACTCGAAACCCGAAGAAGCCCCTTTAAACCCCACTGAAGGCTCTTCCGCATGCTCGACGAGGACCAGGGAGGCTCCATCAGCCCCGACGAGTTTCAGATTGCCCCCTGCCTACCATTCGGGGGGGGGGGGTCCTTTTAATTTAGGGTGTAGGGTTTAGGGTTTAGGGTGTAGGGTCTATGGGTT